GCTACGCTGCCACCTCAGCAACCTCCCAACACCATCACCTCCGATCACCGAAAAATGCCAGCATGTGTCAGAAATGCTATTTTGATGGCAGTTTTGAGAAAAAACATTTTCAAAGAGTAAAAAGTTCACCTGCATGACAATTTTACACAAAATGACATTTTTAGCCGATCAGGGAAAACTTGGCTAGGCATTGGCCGAAACTATGGGAAAGGCCTCCACAATTTTTTAATTATATTTCTTAAGGTGTTTTATCTATTTTTCATTTATTTTTAAAGTTTTTATTTTTATTTTTATTTTTTTAAAAATATTTATTATTTTATTATTTTTTAAATAATATTTTAGAAATGTTTTTTTTAACATTTTTTTTGTATTATGATTACCCTATTAGGTTATGAAAGGGTATAATAGGAGGATATGCTATACTTTAGCCCTACTTTGAGAAGATAAATAACATAGTTCTATTTGTGCATTTAAAGATTAATTTACTCCTATTTAGGACTATTATATCACTTCTATTTATATCCCTTATGCCTTGTAGTCAAATTTCTTTGAATCCATATTCTTCTTCCATGTAGGATGTACCAGTCTTCCACTTCCATTTTTGAATAACTTGAAGCACACATGGAAAGAACTACGTATTCTTCCCCACCCGGAGATATATTACAGATTTCTTCGGATTCATCCCGACATCGTGGAAATGATGTTTCTCCCCTTACATGGCGTTTTTGGAACGATGCTCTGGTCGTGAAACCTACCTCTACTTTGCCCTATGTATACCATAGTTTTCATTTCCTCTCCGTTGCTGCTTTCGCCATGTCTCAAATGGTGTTGTTGTGCATTATTTTAATAACAAACGTGCATCACAAACCATGCATCGTTTTAACAATTAATGTGTATCATGATATAAAAATAGGTTTAAAATATACTTGTACTAGCTATGCATTCTTACTGATTCAAGTGTGCAATTTAGTAAAAATAAATACGCAAGTTTGAGAATAAAATCGAAGTAAAATAAGCCCATAATTAGTTAACTTCATAGAGTATACAAATGGGTTGAAGAATTTTAGGGAAAAAAATATTGAAGTAATTACCAAAAAACGGGAGTTCCCCGTCTGACATTCCAAAAAGCGGGAGTGCCAATTAAGTTACAAAAACACGGGAGTCGGATTCCACAATTCCGACCGGAGATTAGGGTCCGCGAAAAACACACAACTAGCTAGTCGGAATTGGGGAATCCGACTAGAGTAATTTAAAAAAAAAAAAAAACTCACTACCTAGTCGGAATTGTGTAATCCGACTAGGGTAAATATTTTTTTTTAAAAATAGAATTCGTTGTTTTAATAAATGGAGGCTAATTAAAAAAAAAAAAAAAACTAACTACCTAGTCGGATTACCCAATTCCGACTAGGGTAATTTTTTTTTTAAAAAAAAATTTTTTTGTAGTCGGAACTTCTTATTCCGACAGGAGATTTGCTTTTTTTTTTTTTTAAATATTCGGCCTCCTTATAAATAGATTTGTTTCAAACTTATATTTTTGCATCTCAATACATAATCATTACTATATCATTGTGAAATCTATCAAGGTATTTGAAGAAGGTATTCCTCTCCAAATTTTGAGATCAGCCTATTTTCAGGTTAGTTAATTTTCAATTATATGAGTATAGATGTAGTTCATTTTGTAATTTGTGAATTTGTAATTTAGATTGTGAAATTGGACTTGTAGAGTATGATTTAGCTATAAAGTGCTAGAAACTTAGAAAATGTGCTACATTTAGAAATAGCCTTAAAATTCAATTTAGGGAGTGTACAATTACTTAATTTTGTAATTTGTGAATTTTTAATTTAAATTGTGAAATTGGACTTTTAGAGTAAGATTTAGCTATAAAGTACTTTAAACTTATAAAATGTGCTACATTTAGAAATAGCCTTAAATTTCAATTTAAGGAATGTACAAGTACTTAATTTTGTAAGTTGTGAATTTTTAATTTAAATTGTGAAATTGGACTTTTAGAGTATGATTTAGCTATAAAGTGCTAGAAACTTAGAAAATGTGCTACATTTAGAAATAGCCTTAAAATTCAATTTTAAGGCTACACCCCGACAGCACACGATTGGGGTATTGTGGTAAGTTTTTGAATACATACCATATTCGCTACTGTATAGGAATTGGTCCCACCTATACTATTTATACCTATACTATTTATATATATGTTCCATCTTAAACCAAGAATTTGACAATTCTAAATCTCCTATGTATTGATTAAGTTAAATACGTAGTACAATTTAAAATGAATTGATTTTCTGTATTGAATAGTTTACTTTTTTTTTATCATCAAACACACTTCTATTTATATCAAAAGGTTTTGGATCATTACATCAAGCAAATGGAAAATAAAACTGACACCAACTGAAACTCCAACAACTACGACTGTAACCCTATGATGAGACTTTGAGACGGTCACCCCTGAAAGAGCGACATGAATTGCTAATCATGTAGTGGGTTTGACACATCCAAACATGTTGAGATGTGGGCCTTGAGCTACGACGATGGCAAAAGATATGGCATTTTGACGACAAACCTTTCTGAAAGTTTTAACAATGTCTTAAAGGGATGTCGCACATTGCCTATCACAGCACTGGTAAAGGCCACGTTCGATAAAGTCGTCCAGCTATTTGCCAATCGACGACATGCGGGACTAATGTGGCACCAAGCTGGATTCTTGTATCCACAGAACATATGGAAGGTTGTTCTTGAGCGGTCACAGCGTAGGTATCACACAACTATTGTCCCGCACAATCGAACAACGGGAATTTACTATGTAGCTATTAGTGAACATGATCCAGTCACAATCGATCTGTCAAGGCAGGAATGTGGGTGCGGGTATTGGAAGCAGAATGGGCTGCCATGTGTTCACACGTATGCGGTTTGTCGGTTTCTAAAAATAACCGTTGACGGCCTCATCCCAGATGTGTATTCCTTAAATGCGTACATCCGAACATACGCTTCTGATATTATGCCTATTAATAATTACGTCAATGTCATGGCAGAAACACTGCATACACTTCTCCCGCCCACAAACAGCAGATCGGCTGGAGTCGGAAGGCCACGGAGAACTCGATTTCAAAAATAATATCAAATTTGATCAGATAAATATAATCTGAAAAAATTGTATCAGATAAAATTGTGGGCAACCTAAAATATTCAATACCGAACTCATCCCAATAAAGAAACACATTTCTTTTAATCTTAATCCTAAATTATATGAGTATTGAAGTAATTAATTTTGTAATTTGTGAATTTTTAATTTAGATTATGAAATTGGACTTTTACAGTTAGATTTAGCGATAAAGTACTTGAAACTAATAAAATGTGCTACATTTTGAAATAGCCTTAAAATTCAATTTAAAGAGTGTACAAGTAGTTAATTATGTAATTTGTGAATTTTTAATATAGATTGTGAAATTTGACTTTTAGAGTAAGATTTAGCTATAAAGTACTTGATGAAACTTAGAAAATGCGCTACATTTAGAAATAGCCTTAAAATTCAATTTTATGAGTGTACAAGTAGTTAATTTTGTTATTTGTGAATTTATAATTTAGATTGTAAAATTGGACTTTTAGAGTAAGATTTAGGGACAAAGTACTTGAAACTAATAAAATGAGCTACATTTAGAAATAGCTTTAAAACTAAATTTAAAGAGTGTACAATTGTTTTGTTACTAAAAAATTAAAATGCTAAGTTTTCATTTTAAAAAATAATGCACAAATCTAAAAAAACTTTTAAATTTGGAAAGGGTAGAATTTAGCCCTAAAACATTTATTTTTTACAACTCAAAACCAAAACTTTATAAATTCGAAAAAAAAAATAAAAAAAACTCTAGTCGGAATTGCCAAATCCGACTAGAGGTTTGGGGTGTTTTTTGAAGTCTTAATCCCTGGTCGGAATTGGGAGTTCCGACTCCCTTGTTTTGGTAAACCCTAGGAAAATCCCCGTGTTTTGGCAACCCTTCCCCCCTAGCTGTGGGGTAGTGCTGGACTCGGGCCGGGCGGCCCGGCCCGGTTACTGTTTGGCCCGGCCCGGCCCGGGGCCCGGTGGGTCCACCGGTTCGGTTCGGCCCGGCCCGGCTGCTGGGCGGTTCGGGCTCGGGTCCAGGTTTTGGTGAACCGGCCCAGCCGGTTCGGGCCCGGTCCGGGCCGGATTTTAATTTTTTTTTTTTTTTGAAATTTTTTTAAGTGTTAGGTTGGATTAGGTATTTTGGGCCATTTGAGGTGGTTTGGGGTTGAGGGGGAGGGGTAGGGGATTAAATAGGAGAACAAAAAAAAAATATTAATTGGGCCGGTTCGGCCCGGCCCGGCCCGGTTTGGCCCGGAACCGGGACCGGAACCGGCCACCGGCGGTTCAGGCTCGGGCCTCCCTTTTCTGGCCCGAGGCCCGGCCGGGCCCAGGCCCGAACCGGGCCCGAACCGGCCCGAGTCCAGCCCTAGTGTGGGGTATTTTTATTTGGAAAATAAAAAGTACGGTTGAAAACTTAATGAAATTAAAGTTGCACAAATTTGAATAAAGGTGCATATTTAGGGAAAAACAAATAGGGAGATCCTATTTGTGAACTTTATCAATGTTTTAGTCATATTTAAGGAATCAACTCTACTATTGTTAACTCCTAAATTTCATTTTTGGTAGCTAAATCATATTGTGGAATGAGGAGGACATTCAAAATTTGGCTTCCCTACACAAACAAATTATTCTATTGAACTTTTTTACTTACTGTCGTTTTCTCTAATCTTCTCATCATTTTTCTTTATCTTATTCAGATTCAAACATTTTTTACTACACCTTGAAATTAATTAAATTTATAATTGAAAGTTTATGTCTAGCAAAACCAAAATTATAACACCAACACTCAATTGATAGCAATCAACAAGTAAGAAATCAAACCATCAAGTAAGTATGAAGTCAATTAATAAACTAATCAAATAATCATATCATATTAATCTGCTTCCAAGTAAAATTTCCTTATGAAAATTTGTGAGCATGTTTTTCATCAAGTGTAGGTTATGTCCACATAATTTCGGTTTAAAATTCATTTAGGATATCAACTTAAAATATGCATAAAATGCAGTGTTTACAATAATTTATTTAATTGACTTCTATACCAAATTTTAATCTGAAATTATATGTATATAATCTAATCTTCATAAATAACATGCTTATAAATTTTCATAAAAAAATTCATCCCAAAATCCCAAAGCACCTCCAAAAACGCGACTCGAAAAATTATTAATTTATTTAAGACTTAAAAATCGGCTTATTCGCGCCTTAACGACTTGACGAAGTAAACCCGGGCCCAAATATCATAGACGTTCGTTGCTGATCGGAAGAAGGAGAGAAGATCGTTCGCCGCGATCTGTATCGCCTATCTCTGTTTCCTCGCGATCTGTAACTGGAAATACAGAAGTGACGGTGGATATGGCGCTTCGTATTGCGATCAATAGAAGTTCTGTGAACAGCTTCAAAGTAAACAACTCAAAAGTTTTTTCCGGCTATGTTGCAGCTGCTCACGCCACCACATACACTTTAACAAACCACCGCAAAGAGGTTAGTAACTTTAGCACTGGTACTCACTCTTCCATTAGGAAATTTTCATCTACTATCGATTATGGGGTTGAGGAACTGCCGGATTACAGCCGATATTGCCACCAAGTCGAAACTACTATGGGTTTTGGGATTGATGTAGATCTTGGTAACTATTCTTCAATAATTCGTCCTTACAAAGGATCATTAGATGATCCTAAGGTCACAATTCCTGCTCGATTTGCCGTTGATACACACAACAAATCCAAGGGGACTCATACCCAGTTCTTAAATGTGGTTAAAGCAAACTATTCTGGTAACATGTACTATTTGTCTTTCAATGCAATTGATCCAAATGCTGGCGGGGTCGAAAAAAGGTTCATAGCACAAGTTCTCGTTGGCCCGAAAAACGAGATGGAGTTGCTGCTATTTGGGGATGCTGATAATCCTCCTCAGCAATCCAAGAAAGTGGCATTCAAGTTTAAATGGGATATGTTCTTCCCTAATCTCTATTATTATTGGCATGACGAAGGTGAATTTGTTCCCAATTTTATGACAGCAGAGGTGCTATTGTACCCCAGAGATTGCTACAAGTTTCAACGAAAGGGTGATTCCAGTAAGGGTTCTAGTGTCGATCGAGTCACTTTTGATGAAGATACTCCTACGACATTTCATAATGGCTGGGATGTGGACGTTTCTGACAAAATAAAAACTATGGGGCATTTTGCAGTGGAACAGTACAACAAAGAAGAAGAGGATATGGAACTCCATTTTGAGAGAGTAATAAAGGCAACTCTTGATACATTTTTTTGTTTCCGTTATAACCTAACGTTGGAGGCGACAGAGAATGGTAAGAAGAAACTTTACCAGGCATCTGTTCAGAAAAGAAAGGACAGCTTGCATTTGCACTTATTCAGGCCTGTTGATGGTATTGCAAAAGTAACTGAGAATTGATTTGGTTCGTTTTTCAAATAGAGGAGGCATGAAGGTTTGATTTTTTAATGGAAGGAGGGGTTTCAGGAATGCCATGCCGATACATGAGATTTGGCCATGATAGAAATAGAATATGTTGTTGTGCATCTTGTGGACCTTAATTAGGCGACATACTACAGCTAATAATGGTTGGTAGTTAGATATTGGTCTTTCAGTTTAGGTACTGCCTTAGACCATTTGTAGTGGTCAAGAGTCCAAATTGTTTAATTTGGATCCCGTCCATATAAAAACAGTGTTTAGACTCCGTCAATACCGGTTTTCCCCGCATCCGTGCACCGTCAATAAAGTACACTCTGCTTATTTTTTACATATCAATTTAGTAAAACATTAATTAAATTATTATGATTAATATTTTCGTTTTGAATTTTTCCCTGGATACTAATGAAATAAAAATACACATTTCAAAGTAAAAAAAAAAAAGAAAAATCACTATTTTTTTTAAACGGCTTTTGGTTAACAAAAAATGAACTTAGTTCAAATAAAATTTGATTATGGAATATTCAGTTAGTATTTGTGAAAGCTCAATGAATTAAAAAATTGTATTTCGTATTTTTTGGGTTCAAGAAAACTTGAACAGTTAATACTTCAAAAACAAAATTCATTTTATATTATTACATATTGGTGTCATATGAAAGATCATAAAAATTCATGGATTTTGATATATTTTGTGAAAAATTTGGACAACAAATAAAAAAGTTATAAGAGTTTAAAATTAATTGGGAATTTAATGACATCATCGTGACATCGGCAGAATACATGAACAACCCGCGGAAGCAGCCACTTCTTCTTCTTCTTCCTTTTTCCCTTTCAATCCAACCTTCTACTTTTAGACTCCTTCACTCCCCTTCCAACTTTTACTCCCACTTTTAATCCACCACTACATCCAATTAAGAGTCTAAAAGTTCCATTTTTAATCTTTTGACTCCTAATCTTCAACCACTACAAATGGTCTTACTGGTATTTATTTATACGGCATTAAGTTTTAGCATCTTGGACCCCATGCCCCCCATGTATACATTCCATTCGAAGTTTATTTTAGTCAAGTTATTGCTTTATAACTGTGTCAAGTCAAACTAAGACACATAAAATAGGACGGAGGTAGTAGTATATATATCATCCGTTCAATATTACAAAACCAAGGGCACCAATTGTTTGGGCCTTTAAATTTCAGTCGTTAGTGGGTTAGTGGGAGAGTAAGGGAAGCTTTCCTATTTTCTTGCAACTGTATGTGGGTAGTGGGGGGGTCCCATCAAATACACGGTAATCTCATTCACATGCTTGGTTATGATTAATTTGCACACACATACAAACATGTGTGTGTGAGAGAATAGATCTTGTCAAGCGGTCCGCACGGGAAGTGCTGTGAGGACTTGCCCGTTTGGGAGGCCTTCCCGATGTCAATTTTTTATGAACTTTTTTAGCAGGCTCTTAATCAATTCTAGTTTATCCGCAAAAAATCAACTTAAAATTCAATCGTGAAGACAATCAAATAAATTATTAAAGCATATTGCGCTTTATGAATTTTTTGCAATACGTTTCAATAATTTATTTAACTTCCTTCTAGATTGAATTTTAAGTTGAAATTTGGTGTGCATGAATTAAACTTGATAGAGAGTATGCTTACAAAAATTATCAAAAAATTCCTCTAGAAAGGCCCTCAAACGAGCAAAAAATTAAAATAAATTAACGAACCATATCCATGTCCAGAGTTCAAACTTCAAACCATCCGAGTACATGAAACCAACCTTGACCCAAAATAATACAAGTGAAATGCAAGCTTCAATTTTTTTGACAAGGGCCAAGTGGTCTTGGCCCTGAGGACCAACCTGAATCCATGACTACCTTATTATTTAGGTCAAATTTATGATAGTATTAGAGTTCTTGAAATACAACTTTCATGTCTCTCTTTGTAAATGATTTGAGAATCATATTAGTATTTAGTATATTACTCATATTTTGTCCTAAAGCATGCACTTGCATTCCAGGTTATCCAGTCTTTTTAACATTAGTTATGAGCAAGTTCCCATCCAAGTCAAAACGATTTACTTTGAGCAATACAAGTATAATGTTATTTATCATTAAAAAAAGCCAACCACACCCGACATGTTTCCAACTACCTGCCCAAACCAAAAATTCAATATCTAAAAATGGATCCTAGGCCATGCCAGTCACATTATAAATCAACCAACCAGACAAGCCCTAAGAAGATGGATCCACCAGCAGTAGTGGTCAGTTCCATTACATCAATGGACGTCTCACTGATTCAAATTATCCATCACGTCGGTGGGCAGTGACACTTAGTGTCATGAAACTGCGAGAAATAAGAAACATTCAACATATCGGATATAATTTTGGATGAAACATTAGACAAGCCAAGGAAAAACATTAACACAGCCCTCCGTACATTTAGCATAAGAAATCAATAGTGCAGCAAGCTAATATGCTTTCAAAACCCTACTTTAGATGAAGAAAAGTGAAGATCAATAACTCAAGGTTTAGTATCCTCTTCATCCTCTTCAATCTTGGGTGCCAGATAAAACCTTATGTGTCCCATCTCAGCAATCTTGTACTCAACAACAACGGGAAGTTCAGAAGACAAGCTGATGGTGACCGTGTTAGACAACGGACTTGCTTTGGTGAATGAGTTCAAGTACCTCAAAGCAAAAGTGAGAGACACCGGCTCTTTCATCTCTATGATTGTTGCTTCCTCCGGCTGCAAATCAGTAACTAAAGAAATCAGTCTCAGAGTATCATTGAATTCAGTCAATCAGGCATCAATGAAATCTTGGATACATTTGGAACCCAGAAATGGTATTGGAGGAGGGGGGAAATGCTTAAAAGAGTAACATTTTTAAGTTAGTTCTTGGCCCTGGCTTGGAAAATGCAAAAAAAAAAAATGGACAACTTTCTAAAATTTCACATACTTTAGACTATTTTTTGTCTTTATATAAAAGATGTATGTGTTTATATGCATATGCATATGCATATGCATATGTGTATATATAATACTACATCAATCAAATAACTAAACTTGATTTATTGAGTTAGACCCGGTTTTTCATGTTCAGGTTTTTTTCCTTCCAAAATTTCTGCCTACTTTCATTCCTATATTCTTTAGTTAGCATTTTCTAGGTTTCAACAAGAACCAAAAGAGGCCATTGGTGTAGGGTCAATTTTATAAAGACCAATAAGTATTAAGATATATTAACACTTTAAAATTCTAATCAAATTTAACTTTCATTTGTACTACATGTGTTTTTTATAAACACTGACAAATAATTTTCCTGAGCACTTTGCATGGGTTTAAAATATAGCCTACACAATCAAAAAAGAAGGAAGTGGATCCAGCTCCTCTACATGGACATCAACATCATCATACCCCAGAGCTGCAAAGGCTCCTAACTATGGTGGGGCAAGGGGGGTCGGATTTACGCAATCTTAATCATGTACTAAAGCACGGAAAGATTGTTTAGGGAAGACCCACCATAGTGACAAACTGACAATCGGGTCGAGAAGCGCTGACAATTAAGTGAGCCATTTTGCTTTATTCCACACTAATACCAAGCCAAAATATAGTGACTCTTTGGCTCCATTGCAAATGATGGAAAAGAAAAAAAAAACAAAGTTCTTGACTAATCTACTACCAGCCAATGATTATGGGTCCACTGTAAGATGTTGTACAAGCAGATCTAACAATTTAAGGAAAAGCAAGAACTATATGTGGTGTTTTGATCAAGCAGAGGATAGGTGTTTGAAGATATATAGCACCTTATCAACAGTAGTGTTTTGCCTGCACACCACATTTGCAGTTCCAATATCACCTCTCGTTGAGAACTTTACACCTTCCTTGGTCACCGAGATAACAACTGCAATCATCAAATTTAATGAGACCTGTTACATTACTAGTTACTACATACTTGATACTTCATACACAAAAGTGTTTATCCAGAATAGAAATGAATCCTGACATGAAAAAAACTACCTGTATCACCAATGCTGCTAAGGTCTTTGCAAATTCTACCAAACTCAGCTGATGGCATCCTTACTATAGCATGGTACTCTGCTTCTGGGATCCCAAGATGCTCACTATCGATGTCCATAAGCTTCATTTCAAAATCCGCAATCTTGTCTTGTGCTAGTATCCATCACATTCAAATGTGAAGAACATCACACAAAAAAGTCAGTCAGGCCAGGGCCAAGTAGTAGAATCTAATTTCACATGAAACATGATACTGTAACAATCCCACCACAATATAAAATGGGCATTTTCAAGCATATCTGAAACAGACTATATTGTGGTACCCAGATGCAAAGCATGAATTCCAACATACTTACAAGTTTATTAGAAAATTGAGACAATAATTGCGAGCAAAATGTTTATCATGCCAAAACAAAAAACAAAAACTGCAAATTGGAAAAGGCCGCGCTAAAAAATGGCATACCTTGTACTGTCTGAACTAAGAGTCGAATGTGTAACGGAAAACATTAAGGTCTAACAAGATAACTGAAGTTAATTTAAAAAAAGGAACTTACTGGGGCTTTCGAACATAAAAGTTACAGTATCACTGCCGTCATCAGCCTTGATGGTGATGATGTCATCATTTCCGGCACACTTGAGCATCTTGGCCATGTTATTGAGGTTCATCCCCATAGAGATGTTGCGGTCGCATCGGTAGTGCTCGAAACCTTCAGATCTTAGCAGCAGGGCAACCAGCGCCACGTGGCTGGAGTCCATGGCTTGGAGGGAGAAGCCGGTGGCGGAGCAGTCAAAGTTGGCGTCGTTCACCAGGTCCTTGATTGCATCCATAACCTTCTTTAGCAGACTCCCCTGAACAAGGCGAAGTTCCAACATTGTCGCCGGAAAATCCTTACCGTGAGATTAGGGTTTGAAATGTTGGGAGGAGGAAGAGGGAGAAGGGAAAATGAGTGGGAAAATGAGGAGATTTCGGGTCGGTGGGTTTTATTAAAGAGCGGTTGGGCGGGATTGGAATAATGCTCTCGATATTTTAGGGCACGGTTCTGGCGGGGACCCGAAGTGAGTTTGGAAAATTCGCTCTTCTCCCGCCATAAACAGGTGAGGTAGTCCCTTTTCTACTCCTTTGTCAATCTGTGTTTTTGCCACTTTACCTCCGACTATTGTGTTGGTAAGACTTTGGACACTCAACTTTTATATTTTTCATTTTAAATCTCATATATTATTAGTATTATCAAATTAATACTTTTAGACTTTTAATATAATTTGGACACAATAAATGGAGGATTAAAGATGTTAATATTAGATCATCTCCAATGCTATAATATGCACGGTGTACATGTGGTATGAGAGACATAAAAAATTAAATTTTAACACTAAAAATAACATTTTTCTCAACAATGTCAACCACAATGTTATCTAGACATTGATTGACATTGTGGGGAAAAACTTACTAAAAACATACTCCCTCCGTTCCCATTTATTTAGCCAATGTTGACTGGCACAAGAAATAAGGAAAAGGAGTATTTGGAGTTGACTGGACAAGTTTGCCCTTGATTTAGAAGGACGGGAAGCGGAAAAATTGATATTCGCAGGGACAACTACAGTAGCTTTTATGCTATCAGACAGTGCCGGAACTCACACCTGTAGAAGCCCCAAATTAAAGAAAAATAAAGGGCATAAAGAACAAGTATAGGGACAGCCAAAATAGTAACTCATAACTCCCACGTGTAATTACCGGTCACTTTTATTTTCTTTCTTTTTTCTGATCTGCCGCTCTTCATCTTCCGACTTCGGCTCACCATTCTTTCCGATTTTCTGCTCATTGTGTTCTTCCGACTTTTGCTAGCTCATTGGAAAGGAATTTTAGCTTTTCGGACTTCAGCTGTTGTGATCTTCCGCAGTTTATCTCCGTTCTTCATCTACCACGGACGACTACCTTGAAACTATGTCATGGGTATTTACGTTCACGTAGCTAATTCCACCACAGACGACTACAATGAAACTATGTCGCGGGTATTTACGTTCACGTAGCTAATTCCTTCAATATAGTATGAACTTCATATAGAACTTCATATTTGATCATTAACTCTGCATCTATTTCATTAATTACGTGCTTCTTCACAATTTTTGTGTTTACGATTATATTTCTCAAAAATAGCAACATGTGGTTCTCTTCATGTCTATGTTACTATTTCATTACTTAAACTAAATGAATTGTTGTTGCAAGACTCTATTGTGTGTTTCTATATTTTGATTGTATTTTATAACATAATTATGTACTTGATTTCCATTTTTTGTTCATGAACACAATTCTGATGTACTTTAACACGATTTAGAATGTTTTTTGCATTACGCTTATTGATCATGATTTGAATGTGTGTTCTTTGTGCCCAATCAACTATTGTTTCACATGTACTTTGCAACTAATTATTGCCATAGTTTTTGTCCTAGATGCCATCTTTCAAGTTATAGTTTGTGACTTGATTTTAATGATATTATGTTACATGTGTGCTTATATATTATTGTCACTTATTTTAGTTGTAACACCGGACCTGAATTTTACTGTGAGAAAATTTTTTCATCAATTACTGGAATAAAGAAGGTAAATCAAGACTAAGAGTAGTCTTGATAAATGAGAAAGTAAAATTATGTCTCAAATTAATAAAGGGTTATTAATTTAGACGTGGAACCACTCGTTATATTCTAAGTTTATTTATAAAATATAATTAATGTCTACCAAAAATATATTATTATGATAGTAGGGATGGGTCATGGACCCCAGTGATATAAAGAACGACAACTAGATGGGCCAAGCGGGCCGGGGTCACTATCCGATAATTGTGAATCATTAATTATCGGACTGATAATAAATCGGAAGGCTACGAATTAATAACAGAAGGAATATAAATATTTTAAGAACCCAAAATATGGGATGCTGGATAATAATGATTAACTTGACAAATTAGAGGTGGGTACTTTTAGAGGACCCTACCTTGGAGATATTTTCGTATAAGAATAAACGGATAAGATTTTATCTGCTTATACGGTCGGGACCACTTAAAAATAAGTGTAACATTTTATTAAGTGTCACAAAATATGAAAACACATATTTAGTCATTAGGAATGATGGATGAATTTTTAAAGCAATGTGTTCTCATTTTTACTGTTATTTGAACAGTAAAATGCATGTTGGGCCCGCACATGGGCGGGGACCATCCGATATTTACGGACCACATATTATATTCATCTTGGTTAGATAATATTTATATGATTGTTTATATTCATGTTTAGCCATAGAGTTGGCCGATTGATCAAATGCGATCCATTGTCGGTATAGGTAATTTATCAGCTAACAACCCGAAATTCCGGGGACCACTAAATTTAAGTTAGGTAATATATATTCATATTACATGCCAATATTAATTGGAAGAATGATATATATTTTACTTAACCTGATAAAATAGAATATAATTAAAACAGTCCAGAAATATACAACTTTCGGGGCCGAATGTACATTTCGGGGCTTAAAGGGATGACCTCCCGCATGGGTGGGGGCCACCCCACGATTTTGTCAATTAATTAACTCTGGATTGACTCATGTTGGGGCTGTGAGACAAAAGAAAATGGGGGAAGGACCAAACATAATGTGCAATGGGACCATTTCCCATATAATTGAAGAACAAAGCCAAAAAGATTATCATCTCACCCAACCACTCCCAAAATTTCGGCCACACACTCTCAAGGAGGAGGAGGAGCTCTGAAAATATCATCCTCCATAGCTACAACCGAGCTCAAGGTTGAAGAAGGCTCAAGGAAGAAGAAAAGCTTGGAAAAGAAGAGAAAAACTTAGTAAAATTAAGGTAATGATCTCATTAATATTTTTCATCCTTCATTTAATCTCATATGATTTTATAAATCATATGATAGACTCTTAATCTTGTTCTACACTTTTAGAGGTGTAGAATGAGGGTTTGGAAGGTTAAGTTTAACCATGAACGGAGTTATGGCCGGAGTAAGACCGGTTCACCGGAAAACACCTTCTTGGAAGGTTTTGACGTTTATACCACTTTTGGTTGTGAAACCTTGTTAGGAATTTTACCAAGGTATTCTAGACTTCTCAAGGAACCTAGGAGTGGCCGGAAAAGTCGCCGGAGCCACCGGAGTTTTCGCCGGAAAATTCAAAAGTCGCCGGAGTTCGAACAAAGAAGATAAAAGCTTTCTAGCGTCATTTCAAGGTGAGTGGACGACTACATGTCTTGTAACTTTTGAGTCAAACGTGGGATTACCTAAATAAATTCATAATCATGATTTTAGAAATGATTAAATGGATTAAAATACATGATTAGTCATGATGAATATGAAATATGAAAGTATTATATGGTTAATGAATAAGAGATTAATTTGTGGATTAATCATGGATATATTATTGTCAAATGTATAAAAATGCATACTTGGACTATGTGTGAGACTAACTAGATTAATCTAGTATGTGAGTATGTATAAAAATGATTAAAAGTGTTTAAATGTGTGATTAACCATATTGATTATAAATTAAGTGAAAGTGGCATGATTAATGAGTAAGAATTACTAATATTATTGATGAAGACTGATCATGAATGATTACTTGGGAAAGGACTAAGGAAATTCAAGATGGTATTCTTGTGGAGGATTTAAGTATTAAATCACGCAAGCCACTAAAGTAAAATCTAGTTTATGAGAAATAAACTAGGGAATTATACAAGGTATAATTAACTAATATAAATGTTTTTGTTCGCTCATATGAGAAATGACCAAAGTAATTCACGTATTATTGTTGTGAAGAATTAAGAAATGCTTAAGTATACATGCTACTAAGATGAACTAGTTTATGAGAAATAAACTAGAGTAATATACAAAAATGATTAACTAGTATCAATGACTTAGTTAATAATTTTGTGAATATAATATTCTAATTGAATGATGAACCATGAATGGCTCATTTTGTGAGGTGATTAAAGGTAATTCAAGGTGATATCCTTGTGAGGAATAAAAAGTGCTTAATCATGCAAGTTATCAAGGTGAACTAGTTTATGGAAAAATAAACTAGAATAATATACATGGAAATGATTGGAAATATTCATATAAAATATAAGAGGTGGTTGAATGGCAAAAATAGCATTTATTGATTGTCTTAGACATAATATATATGGTGTGAAAATTTCGGACCAAACGGAGCACGTTTCGGGGGTCAACGGGCCGTTGACCCAAAATTTCGGACATACCCGGCGCCGGGTATAGGGCATACCCGGGGCCGGGTAAGCTGCTGCCTCCGATTTCCGTTTTTGCCAAAAACGCGTATCGGGGCCCGAATTGTGGGGGAATTAACCCCGACCATCCTATATATGAATATTTTGCATGGAATTGCATGAAATATGATGTTTAAAATGCTATGGGTTGTAATACGGTTTAAACGCTAAGACTCAGACTAGTCATTAGTGAATAAATTATAGACCACGACCGGGCGAGGTACGTCAGTACGTGGTAGATTATACATGGCGGGTGAATACCCGGGACCAAGTAAGGTTATATAATACTCTGTAGGACCGGGAGGAGTCCTCTACACTCAAACGTTAACAAGGGTCCGTGTACTCCTTGAGGTGTGTTAACCTCCAACAAATTACACATAGGTAACAAGGGCAAATGCAGTCCTTGAGGTGTGGTATCCTCCATCAAAGTGCATATAGGTAACAAGGGCAAATGCAGTCCTTGAGATGTGTTTAACTTCCATCAAATTGCATATAGGTAACAAGGGCAAATGCAGTCCTTGAGGTGTGTTTAACCTCCATCAAATTGCATATAGGTAACAAGGGCAAATGCAGTCCTTGAGGTGTGGTATCCTCCATCAAAGTGCATATAGGTAACAAGGGCAGATGCAGTCCTTGAGGTGTGTTTAACCTCCATCAAATTGCATATAGGTAACAAGGGAAAATGCAGTCCTTGAGGTGTGGTATCCTCCATCAAAGTGCATATAGGTAACAAGGGCAAATGCAGTCCTTGAGGTGTGTTTAACCTCCATCAAAGTGCATATAGGTAACAAGGGCAAATGCAGTCCTTGAGGTGTGTTTAACCTCCATCAAATTGCATATAGGTAACAACTGCAGTCCTTGAGGTGTGCATATAGGAAACACTAAGACTATATGTAATAGTGTTGGATATTTCTAAAAAACTGCTTATCAAACTTTATCATCAGTCAATACTGATATTCTTAGTAGTATTCTGAAAATTTTGAGTGATGTTGTAATGCTTGTTTTCCACTATCTTTTTCACCAGATTATATATTTAGATTCATTAAAGTGGCCACCTGATTAATCTACTCCTATTTTCTTTTTTCTCGCTGCTTTAGCGTTATGAGTTTTAGTTTCATTTTTATTGCTTTTCTGCAATTGACTGCTATGTTGCTTTATGTTTATTTCATTATGCAATTTGTAGCCACAGACTTCTTATTCCAAACTTTTTGAAGATTCAAACAAATCTTAGTAACAAATTTAGTAAACTGAGGTTATAAGTTGATGTTATAAACAGAGGTAAAGAAATCTTAGAAGTTGTTCTGTTCGTCTTAATCTTATTACTTATTGCTTATTCTTATTTTATTCAGATCAGATCAGATCAGAAACATTCAGATCAGATCAGACCAGCAAGATTCAGATAAGATCAGATCAGATCGGAATCATTCAGATCAGATCTGAATAATTCAGATCAGATCAGAAACATTCAGATCAGATCAGAAACATTCCGATCAGATTAGAACATTCAGATCAGATCAGATCAGAAAAGTTCAAACATGATTTATCCCTTTTATTATAATAATAATTATAATAATATTAACAATAGTTATTATTATTATTAATTTAATATTATTATTATTATTATTATTATTATTATTATTATTATTATTATTATTATTATTATTATTATTATTATTATTATTATTATTATTATTATTATTATTATTATTATTATTATTATTATTATTATTATTATTATTATTATTATTATTATTATTATTATTATTATTATTATTATTATTATTATTATTATTATTATTATTATTATTATTATTATTATTATTATTATTATTATTATTATTATTATTATTATTATTATTATTATTATTATTATTATTATTATTATTATTAT